CATGATGATCATGTGTTTGCTCTGTGCGTTGAAGGGCTTAAAGAACCAGGTCCAGGTGAAAATGAACATCGTCAGCTGCCCTCCTGTCACCACTGTCCTCATTAAAAGACCAGATCTCAAATATCAGCTGGGATTCAGTGTCCAAAACGGCATCGTAAGTTTGATCTGTTTTATCCGAGTTGACAAAATAGTTTTAGGTATTTTCCTTATGAGATAAAAATAAGACAATAAATACACAATAGACAAAATGTATGTGTGTGTATTTGAAGCCTGGCTTCAGTAGTGTACTGTGGGGCTACATGCTGACTGGACACATGCTGGAAAACAAAGCTGCTTCTGTGTGAGGATTGAATGAGACAGTGTTTGTAAGTGACAACAGGATGTACTGCAGTTTGCCGTGTGGTGTTTAGCTTGGAGGTGTGGCCTATTTCCATTTGTTATCTATGAAGTAAATAACTATTCTAACTGTTTATACTTTAGTATAATAACTGTTTTCATCTTCTATTTGTTTGTTCTTTTTTCATCATTATTCACCTTTGCTTTGGTGAGAACATTTCACCGTAGATTATGCCAGCAGTTGGCAGTGAAAAAGGAAGATTAAAACGTGTGTCTCTTTACACCTTTGCACCTTCAGTGTAGATATAAACACTTCAACCGACCCTTTAAAAATCTTATAAAAAGTTATTCAAGCTTTTTAAAAACCTGAACATGATTTCAGTCGTCCACGCACTGGTGTTTGTGGCGAAAAAAGCAACATGAGATGACATTTTTCATTTATCCCTGAAGAAAAGTAGATGGTGACTCTTTCAGAAATTTCGTGTCACTCAGAGTATGTGTGTGTGTGTGTGTGTGTGTGTGTATCTTTGTATTTTCCCACCCAGATCTGCAGTCTGATGCGAGGAGGAATCGCTGAGCGAGGAGGAGTCCGCGTGGGTCACAGGATCATAGAGATCAATAGTCAGAGCGTGGTGGCCACGGCACACGAGAAGATCGTCCAGGCACTGTCCAACTCTGTTGGCGAGGTTCGAACTAGCCCACCCACACATACAGTACACACTCATGTACTGCACACGCAGTACCAGCACTGGATACAACGGTGGAATTACAAATAAACAAACGCAGATCCTTCACGAAACATCAGAGATTTCTCTTCTCTCCTCGTATAAACAGGCTATAAACCCTTAGTTCAAAATAAACAAAAAAATGCTTCACAATTCCATAAAGGAGTACAAATAGTGGGGCAATGGAATATGGTACCCATGCTGTAATGCTTGAATGATAACAAACCTCCAGTCACTAGGTGGCAGCAACTCATACAGTGGGTTGTGCAGATAAAAATATACACGTTGTCAGGTTCTCAATAGTATTTCAATTTACAGACCCTGCTGAAATGATTATACTTTACAGCCAGGTACAAATGTTCACTGTTCATTTGCTTTTTCCTCCCGTCAGATCCACATGAAGACCATGCCTGCTGCGATGTTCAGACTTCTAACAGGACAGGAGACGCCTTTGTACATATAAACAGCGGCTCCCTCTGTGACAGAACGTGAGTTACTGATGAGGTGACCTTTGACCTGATGGTGAGGCAGCATCTCTCAGCCTCTTTCTTTCTCTTCCCCTTGCTCTGTGTTAGCAACCTTTCGTCCTTCTGCCTTTATTTAAGCTGTAACAATGAATTAGTTCACATGACAGGCCTATTTTTTCATCTCTCAGAAAATGATTCTTAGTTTGAATGTGTGTGTGTGTGTGTGTGTGTGTGTGTGTGCGCATGGGCATGACAGTGGGGTTTATTTCTATTTATTGGTCCCACCCAGGCATGTGCTTTTATTTCCTACTTCATAAGTTGCACTCATTATCACAATTCATTAATTTTATATTTCACATCAGGCAATAGAACATTTTAATGATTCATCCTGTATAGATTTATTTCCTTGTCTTTTTATTTATTTGTCATGTAAATACATATTTTGCTAATACTTTAAGTGAAGGCAGCAGGGTGTGAAGGGCTGAGGCTGCACTGTAAATAGTAACTGAACCATGACCTTGATGACGGCAAGACACACGTACTTAAACGCCAGATATTGTAAAAAAAAAGTTAATAAAAAAAACTTGTCAAATACACAGGCAGAAAATATGTGTGGAGGATGTCTGTATAAGGTGATATGATGTCATGTGAATGGACCCGTGCCTGCAGCAGGGGATTATGGGAGAAATGCCATATTCTTTTTGATTTTACTTCACATTACGGCAATACACAAGTTCAACCTCTGGGTAAGAAAGCCTTTTTTAAACTCATGTACAAACACACACATTTGAACAAAAACTCACCTCGATTATGCCTTTGACATGAAGAAAAAAAAAGCTCATGTTAAATCTGACAGTACTCTGACGTGTTCTCTACTCTATGTACATCTTTAATGTTGCCGACTGACGCTCATAGACACTATGAGTGGATTGTGAATGTAACTGTGTTGTGTGAACTGTCTCATTGCCATAAACAGTATTAGAATTTCTGTACATAAGGAGCAACTTGTCTTGTTGTTGTGCTCAGCAAACCCTTTCACATCTGTATCGTTGGCTCCTGACGCAGTGACAGAGTGAAGTGTCGGACACACTGTGAGACGGAAAGAGGAAGTTGGACAGAGTGTGTGTTGTTTGTGTGCACACAGGTGAAGCAGAAAGGACAGGACTGGTTTTAAAATGCAAAGTAGTGAAGTTGAATCATTTTAACACTATCCGTGTGTGTGTGCATGCCTCGTATAGTAGTTTCATGTCATTGTGGCAAGAAAATAAAAACTAAACTGAACTTGGCCACAGTGTGTACTGTTGTCAGTTTACCTGTTCACTAATGACCATTTAAACAACAAGTGATTTTAATCAAACACCCGCACTGGTCAGTTAGTGACATTTCTTTCAATAAAGAAAATCTACATTTGTTTTGTTTCCTTAAACTCTAGCCATGACACACAGATGTGTATAAGTGTACAATCTGTAGATGTTTCTTTACTTTCAAATTGCATTAGTAATGTTCTATTTAAATTCAATATTTGAATTAATTCAACAGTTTCACGAGTATGTTTAAGTTAAATAAATTGATACACTTTTATAAACCCAAACAGGGAAATTACAAGATTTGTACCAATAGCTTTTGTAACTTATTTGGTAACTGACCTGTTACCTAATAGTTGATCCAACTATTAACTATTAGTACTGTCACATAACAGTTATTTGTAGGACGTAGTAAATCAGTTTTAAAAAGCATTGCCCTTTAAAACAAGGAAACAAAACTTTGAGAAGATTAAGTTTTTAAAACACAAATAAACTAAAAAAAAAAAAAACTCTAAAAATACTAATAATGACATTCCCTTAATTTAGTGATTTTGTTTTATTTTTATTGGTTAGATCTGTTAGGTCTGCTGTTTAGACAGAAATTTAAATCTATGTTTTATGTGGTATAGCTTATAAAAGTTAAATAATTTGGTTGCCAATTGTGGCATATTATATTATTAAGGCATATATCCTTAATATAATATTGCCTATGTACTATTATATTACATATAGTATTATATATTTTTTATTACATATCACATATTTAGTATTATAAATAATTACAACCTTATATAACATACTATTAAAGTACTACTATAATATACATTGTACCTATACCCATGTAGTTAATACAACTGGCTTATAATAGTATTAATATCTGGTTCCCTCTAATGGTAAAAATCTGAAAATACAGGCTGTGATTTAAATTTGTAGCTTTTATTTTAAAATTGTTTTACTTTAAATCACAAAAATAAATATATACAAATCCAAATATCTCAAATCACAAATGTTAAATAAATATATACAAATCCAAATATCTTTAGAATGTTGTTTTTTAATATTATTATTAGTTTGTTGTAATTGTATATCTGGGTCAATGCTGTTGTTATTTTTATTTACTTTTATAGATACTCTGTTGTTGTTATCTCTGTGAGGTCCAACGTCCATTCGTAGGTATTTCCTCATCACACACTCTTTGATCTGACTGTTGTTTTTGCTGCAGTGGGTCAGGTCAAGGGTTCTGATCATTCTGGTTACACTTTAACATGACCTTAATCCCAACCCCCTGACGGGTCGTCTCAAAGGCCTGGACTGCCTGCTCCAGAGGGAAACGGTGGGTCACGAGGGGCTTCACGTTGACCTTACCTGACGCCAACATGTTGATGGCCATTGGCCAGCTGGAAAAACAGCAAAAGCAATGATTAGACTATTTAAAACTAAAACGAAACTGTTTCGGAGCTAATGAGTGAAGATTTAACAAAGGAAACAAAGTATTATAGTCTGTGACCTTTGCACCAAAAGGGAACTACCTTTGCCAAATGACAAAATACAGTCTTACGTGTTGCAATAACGAAAAACTCCTCTGATGTCCACTTCCCTCACAGCAGCATTTATCAGAGGAATGGTTGCCATCTCTGAGCCCAGACCCACCAGAACTACCACACCTCCTGAGCGTGTTGCCTTAGAAAAAAAAGTCAGTAATATTTATAGATAATTTTATCAACCAACACATACTTGAGCGCTCCATGTTTCAACACTGTACCAATCGAATCCCGCACTTCTATCAAATATACCAAAGGTTACAATACATACATATATGGCAGTTTGGACACTGCTCTCCACACCAGTGCATTCAATAGTGACATGAGGCTGCGCTCCCAGCAGGTCTTCTACAGACTTGGCCAGTTGCTGTGGTCCGTTCTCTCTCTTAACCTGCAGCTGGAAATCTGCACCGAGCTCTTTAGCCATCGACAGACGCTCTGGGACAATATCTGAACACAGAAAATGAAATGAATGACACACCAGAAGAGTTGACTGATTCAGAATGTTTGTTGTATGTTTGTCCATATTCTGATTGTCAATAACAGTGTCTTGACTGTGTTACCAGATATGATGACTTTTGAGGCTCCCATTGCTTTGGCCACAAGCAAACAGACCAACCCAATAGGTCCTGGAAGTACACAACATCAAACTATGAACGACAAGTACTGGAACAAGTACTGGAAAACAGTTGGACTGAGGATCACGTTTTCCTGGTTAATACATGCAAGTAGATGTACAATTCC